ATAAAGATAATTTTCCTTTTTTAAAGTAGAATATTTAGGTACATATAAATTATTTCAACTTGATAGAGTCGCTGTTGCCAATATGTGAATTAGAAACAAATCCCTTTAAAAATTAAAACCCAACATTTGAAACATCAATTTGAACACTTTTCGAAGTGAATTTGAAAAACTCACGAATTAAAAAGTCAACTTTATTTTGTTCAAATTTGCATTTGCTGTAATAACCCAAATTGAGGAACATTCCCCATTATCATTAATATTCAATTAAGATTAATAGTCCAAATCTTTTAAACAACTGACATTTTGACTCCTCAAACTGAATGATAGAAAATGCGCCAGCTGAAGCGAAAAACCCGACCTGCCGGTGCAATTCTTTTTTTTTAATTATCATTATCTGGTGAGTGATGTAATCACGGCTGATTACATTGCTCGAAGTGAAATTCCATCGAAAATAATATGTAATTCCTGATTCACGTAACTTATCGATCGGATGAAGCCTTTCACGTGAATTTTAATCCGGTTATAGCTATTTCAATCGGAGGTTATTCAAATTCGGATGGATGGACGGGCGGCCTCCTTTCTAGGCGAGAGAAACAAGTTTTTGATCATTACGGAATTGTCTCATTGATTTACCAACATGCTTTTCCTTTTCCAGCCCAGTCTTCAGGATCACACCGCAACGGTGTGATCCTGTAGACTGGGGCTGGAAAAACCACGGAAAAATTTAGACAACAATCCAAACTTTCAAGCCTCCGGCACCATCAGAACTTCTGAAATTAATTTTTTGCAGATGCAAGGGAAACTGTGGAAGATGTTTGGTTGCCAAAAAACAGGCTTCAACTGCTCTGCAGTGTGCCTCAATTGTTCTGGGGGAACTTGCAGTATTATCATGGATAATACTATTATTTCGCAAACATTCACCTCCGATACTGAATTAGATCCTGAACCGCAGCCTGGACCATCAAAGAAAATTAACGAATGTAACGTTTCAATGGACTATTAGAGATGCACAACAATTTGTACAATGGTTGACTTCTGTACCGGATAAACAGAAAAGTAATGATTTCGATCACGCCTAATGAATATAAGAATTAAACACGGCACCAACTTTTGATCAACCCTGTACCTCACATTCCGTCGGTGAAAATTGAACGGTTGCATCGAGAAACGCATCGCAGACCGTGTTTCAAAGAGGGGCCAAGACTTTCTACACAGAATGTGAATCTATTGTTGTTCTGAAAGCATTTAAAACTGTTTTTTTGAACCAAATCATCGTTTTGTTGTGGTCTATAAACCATGCCTAATTATTCTCATCAAGGTCAAAGTCGACAAACAAGGTAATTGGAAACATGAAACGTGTACGTTAATAGCTGTGATATTCGTAATTATTTTTTAGTGACAGTATATCATCAACTATTACGCATTAAATATTACAAGTTTTTTTTCTGATTGATTCGTCCTTTACTTGAAGATCCATAGTAATCCATAGACTTAATTCATTACGAAAAAGCTGCTGTATTACATGTCGTGATATCGGCGACGGCGCTTCATTGCTTAGACCGCCCCTCCATCCCCGCGCATCGTCCCCCGTCGTCTTACAGTAGACGCTACGCATGAAGGCTTACTGCGTTGCTTCAACTTAATCTTATCGTGATAAATTTCAAACGATTCGTCCAAATTACTCGGAGTAAAAGACAAAGTTTATCTATATTGAATACTCAAAACGACAATTGTATGAATTTTTATGAGAAAAAAACAATCTTACGGTATGTTATCCGCATGTAACTCCAACGGTATAGACAGACATGTTTCAACTAGCACAGTAGCTTTTTTTTGTCCCTTGGGAGCTGTCTGACTTGATCCATCTAGTTTAACTCTCCAAAAAACACTACAGCCTCGGGCTTATAGCGTATAGTATCAGTCAATCAGTCTCGTTCCCTGTATAGTATTTCCAATACCAATTTTAACAGCACAGATAAGGAATTCCCGCCTCGACATAGGCGTCGGCATATTATTTTTCAGTGGTAGTTTTTCAGTTACTTATTCTTACAATCATAGCAATTGATCACCCCATGAAAAAGTTATCTCAACTGAATTTTTCCACCATGGGTAATTATGAAAAACTTCGCAATTCAAGGTAGTTGATTTCCGAGTCGAAAACTCTAAAATACAATGAAAACACAAATAATCACACCGAATTCTCGTCAAACATATATTTACTAAACAATAGAGGCCAACAAAATTGCTAGAAGAATTAAAATTCTTCTTCGCTATATTCGGATGAGGTGGAATCATCATCGGGTTGAATAACGATCGGATTTATGGAACTTTGCACATAATATTTGTTCTCTTCTTTTATAACGTGGGCCACACAGTTCTTCCACACATCACTATTAACTACTTCATTCACCACCCGCCTTATATTGCCAAGCACTACAGCATTCAAAGTCGGTGACTGATTACATTTCCGCAAGCTTTCTTTCATTGTGGCCCAAACCATTTCAATTGGATTGAACACAAAATAGTATGGAGGCAAATCATTCATCAGTTCTTCCAAAAGAACCAAAATACACCGACAATTTGGTTCAATTTGTAGAAAAATTGAATATGAAAGTGGCTTCCAAAACTGCTCGTACACTTTGGCAAGTTTTAGGTGACCCGAAAAACAACTCTACGGAAAAAAAAGTCTGGAATTTACGAAACAAGCTGTGATGACGTCGTACAATCATCAACGGTTTGGACGATCCATGGCAAAGGACTTGGCCGAAATGCGACAGTCCGCTTATCCGAATCGAAATTTTAAGCTAGTTCTCGTGGTCTTCAATTGTTTTTGTAAATATGTATGGATCCGACCGCTCAAGATGAAAATCGGGGAGAGATTACAAAAACAATGTCAGATATATTGGTAGAAACGCAACGCCCGAAAAACTGATCAGGGTACAAAATTTTACAATAACAAATTCATGAGGGAAATTTCATGAACTGAGCACTGTGTTTCCAATAGTAATATTATATATGTATCATTTCAGGTAATTGGTAACTGATATTGTTGGATTTAAAAACGTTAAAAAAATAACTGATATCTTACTCTGATTTCATCTCGTATTCGTTTTTCTTCTTCCTCTCTTTGTCTCTGGAATTTTCTGTACAAGTCGTCTTCCTCTTTCCTGTGAATCATTTCCAATCTTCGTTGTTCATCCCTATCCTGAAACAAAGAAAAACCAATATATCAGCATATGCTTATTAACCAAATGAAATATACTAGTTGTTGCCTGACATTCAATTTGTCAAATGAAATTTCGTGACAGACCATTTTGAACAAATAGTTATAGTCGAAGTAACCTGTATTGTGAATATTTAAAGCTATCGGCATCTCAAAGGCCAAAGAAACCAATACAGAGAAATAATGCCGCTACCAACTAGTCCACGTGGACTGAAATTGGCAGTTCGTATTGGATAATTTTTACTAACCGAGTTTTATGATTGGATGAAGAGTCTTAAAATGAATTTGGAGTCATGTTACGGTGACGAAAAATTTTTGTTATCTGTTTAAAATGGGGCGTCTCTGGACAAGTAATAATAGTAATAACGAGTGTGATAACAACGCAGATTTTTTCCTATGTAGTGATTCCAATAGCGATGGTGAACAATGCGAAAAAGAGACACCAGTGAATAAGATTCGGATGAATATTGAAACACAGAGAGTATGTTTCAATGTATATAAGAATCTACATCTCAAGTTTGGTTTCGAGGGAAACAAACTATTACAAGAAACACCAGATTTGACCGAAATTCCTTTCTCAACTATACGTAAAATAGTCAAAAACAAACCTTATGAACGCAAGATGCGATTTGATGTGGGATTACTAAAACCTTTAGATGTTCATTTAATGAAATCATTGAAAAAACCGATATACGACTGTTACAAAAGCAATGACATTCCTACAACTGAAATCATAAGGAAGAAATTGAGTATTTCCGGCCATAACGTGAGCTGCTGTGACAAAACTCTTCAGAATTGGATAAAGGAACTAGGATTTAGATTTAAAATAAAAAACAAACATTAAGCAGTTATGGAAAGCAGAAAAATAGTGGAATTGCGTAGCAAATACTTAGAACAAATAACTAAATATTGACAAGAACAACGGCAAATTTTCTATTTGAACGAAACTTGGTATGACACTCACAACACAGTTACTAAAGGATGGACTGATGGTTCGAGAATGTGTACGCCTAACATGCCTGCAAACAAAGGGTCGCCACTAATCATTGTGCACTGCGGGGGAAGTAAAGGATGAGTTCCTAATTTTTTGAAATTATGTGGAAACTGTTGGAAAGTAGGTTGCACTATATCGTTTACTTGAACTATACGATAATTTTTTATTAACCCAAAACTTCAAGTTTCCAACTTCATAACTGTCAAAATTCAATACAATCTCTGAACCTCCATTTTAACCCTTTGGGGTTGGAAATTTACGCTATACAAAGAGCCTACCTGCATATTTCAAGATTATGTGTACGTTAATATAAGAGCGGGCAACAGCTAGTAACTTATGGGAAATTAAGTTTTTGGCTTTCTACCACTTCATCTGGATACAAAAAAAATGCTGGAATCTTCCAAAGACAGGAAGGAAGCAATCAATTTTAAAGGAAGTAGTGTGTAGATCATGCAAAGAAGTAACTTTCAGACACAAACTGGAACAGTTACTTTCACATAAACATTACACGAAAGAAAAAATATTTCGAAACAGATACTTTTATATTGAATCAGATATCATTCACAGGATTTCTACACAATATTCTGAATGAAAGGTAAAAATTGCATCATGGATCCACTTCATATACGATACCTTCGCACGAGAAAATGTTTTTCATTTCTTTCCGGTAGTAGTTGGAGAAGTAGTTTTTGTCTAACAGTCACTCAACAGTTCCCAGTGTAGAAACGTTGAGAGATATTTTTAACAGCACAGATAAGGA